TTTGGATTATCCTTATTCTTTTTTCAGTATACGGTTCCATTATATATAGTTCGAAAATTCTCTTTCTTTCTCTTTCTCTTTCTTAAAACGAAAAAATTGGTTGATGAGATATATTACGATACAAATTTAGTATTGTATTAGAACAAAAGATTCTACTACTATTTAAATAAAAACATAAATGATAGTCTCATATATGAACCTGCTTTTATGACCAAATCATTCACATTGAATAAGTTGGCAGGAAATTAAGGATAAATCTTTCTACAGGCTAACAAGTTGTAACTCATTTCAAAATCATATTACCAATACTTGTTTTAGCTGGGATTTATTGTATGCATAATTTGCAAATTATTAAGTCTTTGCAAACAGAAAGTTACATGTAAAGAATTACTAATTTAAAAATATATAATTATACTATTTTATTACACTAAATTATACATAAAAATTTATTTAGAAAAATATAACGAGACGCAATTGACCATATGAAGAATGAAAAAGTTTAATTAGCGGTATATTAAGATTGTGAATCAAGTATGTTAAAAGAGAATTTTTATTTAAAGCTGTCAAAATATAAAGATTGTATTATATGGACATCATTCGAGAGAAGTTTCCCATTTTCAATGCTTAGTTAAAATAAAATTTTAACATTTGAATACTTATACTTTTTATTGTAGAATCAGACGCTATCTGTAAAGGAATTCACACTTTAATCTATCTAAACTGTACTTTTGCAACAATGAGAAAATCCGTTATATTTTAGTTACATCTCCCATCACTTAACGTTTGTCTTTATTACCGACAGTAACAATATGTTGAGAGCATCTTATTACAAGAACGGCATGAATTCTAACGATATTGCTATAATTTTCTCAACTGAAAACTTAACTCTCCTCATCTTAATATACCGTAAAACCGAGGATAGTAAGAGACTTGCATCATTTCAGATTCCGTTCTCACAAAATAGGTCAAAGTTTTTGCATGGCTTCGATACAATGCACATGTATCTAAAGGAGAAATCGGTATGAAATAGATACAGAATTGCATTACTTTGAAATTGCATTGTCATATCATTCAGAAATATTATTTTCTCAAAATATTATAGGCCGAAAATTCATATTTTCGAAATCAATAAAATATTCAAATTTGTAAAACGAATTATTTCTAAATTCTTCGATATGTATGTATTTTCTTCAATTTTTATTCACAAATTTTCACAATATTATTTTATTTGTCAGAAATTTACATATTATTACATATTTCGACAAAATAATATTTCTGCATTATGATATTTGCGGAATCAATTTATAATAATGTTACCCTGTATTTTCAGTTTCGACATTTCGAATTTTTTAAAAATATTTAGGAAATATTTACTTTCTGAAAATCCTTTTTTAAATTGGATATCTATTAAATAATATTCTAAAAAAACTTTATTGAATAACAATCTACATGTTCTATAATGATTTTTTTTTACATCTGTGTTTTAAAATTAATATTTGGTTTATTTATATATATATATATATATATATATATATATATATAATTTTGTAACATGTGTCTATTATTTTATAATATCTCAATTTTACATTAACTTATATTTTTGATTTATGAAGAAAATGCATATTGTATTATTTATAATATTATGTTGAATAATGTTCTGTCTAAATTTAATCTATGTCTATTAATAAATAAAACTCATTTCATTCAAACAGTCTCGAATTATTAAATTATATTAAAGAGATAATGACGCCGGAAAGGTCGCAAATATAGAAACACAATAGCACACGTGTTGCATACAGATTTAAAATCATTACAGTATGGATCAAGTTAAAAAGTGCAATACATGAATAATTCTACTGTGAAATTGATTAAACATTCTCAATCTCATAAGAGAACGAACAATATGTACATACAAATGTATATCTAAAATTGCTTTAGAATTTGGCAGTAACCGCAACAACAGGAAGTTTTACTAGTTCTCTGAACAGCGAAATGAAAAATTCCAAAAAGCTTTCATTTGTTTGTGTGTGTGTGTGTGTGTGTGTGTGTATACACATGTAACATGTGTATGTACATATGTAAAATTAATTTTTTTTTAAATTTATTTAAAAAATTTCTAAAATTATTTTAATTAATTTAAAATTTAATTTAGTTATGTTCTTTTTTATTTTTTGTTTATTTAAATTTACTTGCTTCTGAATCTTGACATTAATTTTTAATATTATTATTTGTCAATACTATTTGATGATAATTGTGACCTGATTATTGCAATAATTTAATTGCAGAAATATACTATAATATTTAAATAGCAAGTTAAAAAGATTTATATTTTAGATGTGTGAATACAAATAAATTTATCTATTACTTGTATTTATCTTTCTTTCTTTCTCTCTTTTAGTAATCGTCCGAGATAATCCTATTAATTCCAGCTTGGTATTAGAGAGCACAGTAAAGTGCATTATCGTAAAATGAAACCACCGCGAAACATTTAATCTAATTTATCTTGTAAAGTTAAGTTGTACTTTTGCCGCACTAAGGGGGGAGGGAGTGTGTTCTTTTATAATAATTCATATTTCTTGTAGAAAGATTAATTTAACATCGTTAAATTAATTATAAGAATTATTTAAGATAATCATACGTTCACAAGATACGTGTCATTAATGTTATAATATTATTATTAATCATCAATCGGTTAATATCTATCATCTATTAAAATGAAATAAATTAATATTAATATGTATTATTGAGGTTGAGAGATATTTTAATTATACCAATGATTTTGATTTTGATTAACTTTTGAAAAAACTCTAATTTATTCACTTAATTTTGTATGCGTTATAATCATATACAATCGTTTATTATTCATAGTTTCTAAATGTTATTAAAAATCTCTATTGTAAAAATTATACATAAATTGTAATAATATTCTTTTGATTGTAATAATATTAATTTGTTCATGCGATTTATATTTTCCAAATTTTTATCATATATTATTCAATAATCTTTTTTGAAGTTAATTGAGTTATTAAACGCTTGCAACGAGATGATCTGCAGATATTTAATGCACGAATATGGTTCGCGTTATCCTACGGCGACTTTACAGAGACGTGCTTAAATAAATGGCAATTCATCTATCGGATGTTGGCCTTATAAATAGTTCAAGCTGCTATCCCTTTGAGAGATGCAGGCAGTGGATACGGATATAAATTGACACGTAATAAATCGGAAATGCCAACTCGTACTAGCGTACATTTGCGCCCGAGGTGCGTTTTCAATTAGACCATCGATAAAATCGCGCAACCTGTTATTCTCTCATATAGCAGCGAATGCGATAAAGAAAAACATTTAATAACGCGAGACTATGTAAGCGTAAAGAAATTAATATTTGCCGGGAAAACATTACGCGCTGACATAGAACACTCTTCCGGTAATTACGAGATTTTACTAGAACATTTCACGTATACAAAATTCAAATGTCAGTTAGTTAATTAAATTCTTGAGTAATGTGTCTGCAAGCTATTTCAGATAAACTACATATCTTTTCAACGCCATAATTTAATATTGATATTGAAATATTTCAATTTGAATTCAAAACATATTTTTCAAACATAATTTTTTGTAAATTTTATATTAAATTTAATTTTAATTAAACTTTAATTGAAATAAAATGTAATTAAATATAATTAAAATAAAACTTAACATTATATTAAATAATTAATAATATAAAATATTAATATGGAAAAGCATGGGATTTATATAAGTGATTTACAGTTAAAATAAGAAACAATTAAAACACTTAATAAATCAAAATTGGCTATAACCAGAGAGAGTAGAATTAAGTAAGTAGAATCTCTTACAATAATGCAAACGACAAATTTTTGCTAACATTGGAAAAGATTGTGATAAACATTATTTTTTTATTGTCTTCTTTTATTTTTATTCTTTCTTTTCTATTTATTATAAATTATTGATTTATATATTGATTTTAATGTATGCAAACTGTACTTTATTTATGACTTAAAATAGTTTATAAGAATAACATGTAAAATTTATTATCGAATCCAAAAACAATTATGTACGCATTATGATACGTAGATATATATTATGTTCAAAATCATTTGTTTGCTTTTATTTGCTCGTGATATAAGTAATGGATGAAAAGAAAAGCCGACATTCTAAGGTGTGGTACTCTGCTATAACTGAAAAGTCATGTCTGACCTCATCGGTCTATCATAAAAAACGCGTAATTTAGGTAAATGACAATCGATAGCTATTCCGAGACACGTGCTAAGTGTGCGCTCTGACAAATGGCAACGTTATTATAGAAAATATATATCATATGAACGTCAGAATGTTCATGTTTGCAAAACCTTATCGCGTATGAACATTTTATGATTGACTTCCTTGACCTCTGAATCTACCAAGACCTTCATAAATATTTAAATTTTAATTTCTTTCATTAATTACCATGATTATCTGTACAAAGCATTTGATTTTATCTCATAGAAAAATTAAGAAAGATGAGATAATTTTCTCATAGTTATATTACTAATGTATTTATCTAACTTGTTAATAGGATTATCAAAAAATAACTTTCCATATACATATATTCAATATAATTTTCAAATAATATAATGTTTAAGAATAATGTACACAAATTTAAATTTGAAGTATGATTATGAAAGAAAAGTATCCTGAATTATAAATTTCAGACAGTACATTTATATTATTTTTTACAAGGTATTTTCTCTTTTTTTCTTTCTTATAAAATTTTATCGGCAAAATCAACATACATGAAAATAATAATAATCATTAATGTAATATACATATAAACAACATCTCTTCTAATATATCTATTTTCATATAAGAAACATATTAAGAGAAATATTTAAGATAAATATCCTAGAGGTATCGTTCGTGACGTTGAAACGGGATTGGCTATTTCTGTAAAATTTAAAGAGATAGTATATGATCATAAGTTTCTTTGGAAAGTTACTCACCCACGATGTAACGATATTCCGATAGAGACCGATATCTTTGATGTCACTGATCGAAATTTTATAAGATGCACGGAAAGAAAAATGTGAACGGAAGAAAATAAAAAGCGTTTTCAGATTAATAACGATCAATGGCCTAATCGTAGTTTTTCTCGATGTCGCACATTCAATCACTAGATATTTTCCGATCTGTAAAGGATTCACAACGATTCGTCCAGTTACCAGATATTTCGCACCGTGCTATTCTACCATGTTCACTCATGGATTTTTTGCAGTCATCCTGGCAACGGTAGAAATGTTCTAAACGATTATACAAGAACTAAAAATCACACACACTCTTGTTTTTTATCATATTGAATAATTCCATTTGCGAATAAAATGCTATAAACTTCTATAAGAAATAAACAGAAATTAAATTGTCAACGTATCATGTTTACCGCGTTATAATCATAAGTGATGAGCGCTCATCATGGTGTGATTATAAAAAAAAATATTTTCCTAAGAAAATTTGGCAACAGTTTCAAATAAACTTTTCTAATTTGAATATATAATTACTGAATTTAAGAAAATTTTTATATTTCAAAAAATCGATCGTAAATATTTCATTAAGAATATTTAAATATACATCCGAAAGATTAAAACAATTATTGCGCTTCAAACACATATTGTATCTTTATAATCTTTCTCTTTCTCCAAAATTGTATCAATAAATTTATCATTTTTTTTTAATTTTTTAGACATTGTATGTTACATATATATAAATAGTTTCAAATTTGAGTTTAGTTGTGATTTTTGCCAAAAATGAGTTAAATGACCAAAAATATGTGACAGTTATATTTTCTAGTCATAACAAAATATGAAATTTTCTGCAATAAATTTTATGACGTACTAATCATGCTGTTTTTATAGAATGTTTAGGAAATAGAGAATGCATCACCCTTTACAGATGCATGTTTTTTTAACTGGATCAACCATTTTTTATAATAGATTTTCGTCCAATATGTTACAGAGTTAACTATATTTCTGATTAATTCCGCCAAACAAAATTTCAAATATTAGTAAGGTAAAATCTAGACTCGAACTTCAAGATTTCTATATTATTTGAGGATCTCTATATTGTTTGAAGAATTATTAAAAAGTATAACGTAATATAGCATGTGTGGAGCCGATCTTTCTCTAAATATGCCCTCGCCGGTCTTTCTCTAAATATGCATTGATGGCTAAAAAAGACAATCTAATTAATTTTTAACAGAAAATTAAAAGAGAGAATCATACATGGCCATGATAGTGATGTTATATCTATAACGTACTAAATGAGGTCAAAGAGGTAGGTCAGTACATATGACCTCAGCACTTCCTGACGTAAGGGACATCATAATAATGAACTAGTGTTATAAGCTAAAAGAGTTTTGCTAGGTTCTATCTTTATAATTCAATAAGCCATTTGAGAATAATAATTAAATAACATTTTAATTAATATTACAATTTACATTGAACCGATTCATATTTTAATTTCAAAAATGAAAAAGGACAGTGCATTATTTAATTAAAAATATTTATAGAAAATGTTTAAAAATAAAAATTAAAGATTTTATCGTAAATGAAATTTCATCGTTGATGATAAAACCTATCAAAATTTATAGTATACAATCTGCATTAATTATATACAACATATGTGTATGTGTGTATCAAATAATGAATATTTGAAATAGTAAAAATGTATCTGCAAAAAATTCTGATTGATCGAAAATAGAAGATGTAGTAAAATCGTGTAGTCGTTCATATATGTCATACATGATATATTAAAATAAATATTATGAAAAATATAAATTATAATATTTAATAAAAATAATGTATCTGTATATATAAAAAATAAGAAAATCGCTTATTTAAAAAATACTATTTTAAAAAATTAATTTTATCAGCTCACGAACCATCCGTAAATATTTTCTAAACGAATCGCATTCCTCGTCGAAATTCGTCTTTAATCTTATCCAGTATAAAAAAAATTTTAAGAACCAAGTTCAACGCACTTGTCGTGACACAATTAATACAAATCACCATGAAGAGCGCTATCTATTTTTTTATCTTAATACTTAATAAGATAACTCGACATACGAAGCTAAAATTTTACTTTTAAAAAACGTTATTAAATGTATCAAATGCACCAGCAAAAAAATAAAATACGACACTAACTGCGTTATGCGACGAAAACGACAGTGTCAAAAAATTATTTGAAGATCAGATCTCTTGTGGATGTAATGCGCGCGCCAGGTGGCAAACGCGCGATATGTCTCGACGATAATATCTTTATCGATTATTCACTCGATAGTTTCTTTTACTGTACGAAATCCCGCGGATCATCCGTTTTTATCGAAAGCGCACACCACGGTACCGCATACGAGATCTGAAGATGTGAGAAATACACATACGTAACGCCTGGTGCGAATGAAGCGCAGCCACTGAACGTCGAGGGGTTGTCGCGCGGTAGGCGCCCTCGGTACAGCTTGCCTTCTCGTAGCTTTACCGGGGATGGCCGTGGTGGTGGTAGTGACCAGGGCCGAGCATACTTGCATCGGCCCTGTAGCAAAATGAGTCCTTTACTTTTACAAGCATCAGTATAAACTTTTTTATACATGACTCTCGCAGGAAGAAAATGAAAATGTATATGTGTACATTTTTAATTAAATATCAAAAGCTCTCTTTGTATTATGATTTAAAATATTGAAATTTTTTACATAAAGTTTACTTTTTAAAAAGAATAAAAATACAGAGATATCATAAAATATTTAAATTGTTAAATCGAAATATAAAATAATTAAAGACCAAAATAACCAATATCTGAGTCTATGCGAAATTCATTTTAATTTAAATTGTTAAACTTGAAATTTATAGCATTTATATGACTAACAGGTCGGTATAAAATTTTTTGAAAAATATAAATAAAAGTACAGCTTGCATAATTTTATACATATTTGATTAAATTATAATGATTAAATTATAGTTCGCAAATGAATACTTTAAACAATAATACAAAAAATTTGTATGTTCACACATAATAATATACAACAATAATGCAGAATGTTTTTTTCTTTTATTTTCTGCACGCTATGACACAGTTTGTTGTATTTTTAATATAACTCATAAAATTCTTTGAAGTCTTTTTATAATTTAAACGTTTGTAATACTTTTCGAGACAATTTCACTGACAAGACAATTTCATTTAAACACGAGATTTTTAATCCAATAAAGTCGATATAAATAAATATAACACTAGGAATTTAATCCATTAAAATTATATTTTAAAAATTCCAATTTCTAATAAATATATTACAAACTAAATTTTGTGAACAAATTATATATTGTAGAGACGCGAATAAATATATGCGCCCATAAAATTCGTCCCTAAATAAAGAATGCTAGACGCTTGCGCGTCAGGTATAAGGAAGTCTGATTGTAAAACTGTGAGAGTTACCTGTCCAACCGTTGTCTCTTACGTTGCAAACTTTTTGTAACTTTAACCGAATACTGTCAGGGTCTGACAAAAAAGGCTATCGGGAAAAGTTCTGAGTTTTTCGCATCTGCGAATCTATCCGTGAATGTGCGCCGAACCGAAAATGTACATGTGTCTAACAATCATGTTACCAGGGATGTTGTGTCGTAAAGCTTTAACAGAATTGAGAGTTCTTAATTTAATATAATAGATATAAATTTAATTCCACTTTTTTCGTTTAATAGTTTGATAGTTTTTAGTTTTTCAATTTCCATTAATTTGTTTTTCGAGAAAAGAGATCAATCGAATCATTAAGCTTTAGATTGATTATCTTATAATTCCTTTAGTAATTAAATTGAAATTTTTACATCAACACATTTTCAATTTAATTTTTTATTTAATTATTCAAAGCTCGCTGTTAACGAGTTTTAAATTTATAACTTTTGTTAAAAGATGTTTACTTTTGATTGTATAGTTAACTAGCTAATTAACTAGCTAATAACATTAAAAAAATACTTCATCTCTTATATTTAATATGCCTTTCGATAAAAATCTCAAGTATACTAACGAATTGAAAGTTTAAACCAATACTTCAACAAGTTTCTATCGCAATATTTAACCGATATTAATTTAACTGATGTGTTAAATTTTCGCGAAAATAAAAAAGCATAACCAGAGAGAGTATTCGTAATAACATCCAATATGCGCATGTGACAAGAACCAAATTGTCACCGTTCAATTGCTGACGTCAATGCGCTTGTCCGTAAAAAAAAAATCACGGAATGAAACAGAATGTATCAACACTCTTGCAATTCCTAGATATTTCGAAATTAAAACTCGTTTCTATTATACCATACCGGATTGAATTTGCAGTGGAAAAACGTTAGTATAAATTTCATGCTCCACTACGAAAAATATATGAATTTCATGCTGCATTACGAAAAATGAAAAATTCTACTTGTCTATTCCAATCTTATTTTTATTGATGAATTCACTTTTGTCTTTACTTTTTGTAAAGAAAAAATAAAATAAAATTTAAAAAAAATTTTAAACTGTAAAATGAATTATACATCATCGTTATTGAAAGTTAATTAAAGATTTCTTTTTTTTGATAAATAAAATATACAGGGACACTCGAATTTAATTTATTCTTAATATATGAGTGATACATTTACTATTTGTATCTGTATCGAAATTGAGTATCTTAATTTTCTGAATATCTAAGTTTTCTAATAATATTGGTTTTAATATCCACGGATATTACATTGTTATCACAGTTGCTGTTCGTGACTTAAATGTTATACATGTCACATAAACGTATGCACATAGGGTCAACTAGATCAAGGTTAAGCAATCTGAATGTTGAGTATAGTCAAGAGAATACATATCATATAGAATACATACATGAAGATTCACTAGCAAGTAATGTATAATATATAAGTTACGAACTGTAATGAAATAAAGATTTTGATGAGGCGTAGAAAATCGTAGAAACAAAAGTGTTGGCACAATTTTCATGATGAATAATTTCTATATACTATGTGCGAATGTTAAGCAAATTTTAAAAGATGGCAGAATATATAGAAGTCAAACGTATTCATTTTTGACGAGGATTTGATCGATTTCTCTCATTTCTCAAATCCTTTGTCTTATTTTTTTGCGTCCAAGGTCAGTGTAGTCAAGTATGAATCATTATTTTCTCTTATCTAGCTACAAGCATAATATACCAATGTATTATCAAATTACTACGCGTTCAAATGTCATGTTACAATCTGCGAAAAAATTTGCGTGCAAAGCTATCGTGAAAAGTGCACGGACTTTTTATTGTGTCTAGATGTGCTGCGTAAAATTAAAATTAATAAAAGCCTCCATTAGGCTTAATTAATTGAGAATCATAATTCTAAGTAGTTCTATTTTGAGCTGTGCTGGTGCATGATTAATGAAATCTTTTACAGCGAGTATTTTTCAAGAAATGAAGAGACATTTAATTTGCATTTATGTTGAAATCCGTCACTATTTATCTCACATGTTTTTTCAAGAAGCATACCTTCTGCGGTACTTTTTCAAGAAACATCATTCTCGTTGATACGATAACATACAATATAAAGCAAAATAGCACAGAGTTACAATATGAAATGTGATATATAACAGAAATATGAAAGGGTAAATTTAGTACAAGTTTTTTCTAATTAAATTGCTTCATTTCTGCATTTGTTATTTCTTTGTATGACGCAAATGTTAAAAATTTCTTTTATTTATTTTTTCGAGATATAAATAATAATTGTAAATAATAATTAATAATTTGATGTTTCGAAAACAAAATAACGCAGAAAGAACTTCTCTGTTTTCAAAATTATCGGGATCGAGCTATCTCTCTATTCTACGTTCAATCATGTCATTTCAATGACATACGTGTAGAATATTTTTGTTTCTATTTGCTCTCTAAATTCACGCATAGTTATGCATTTATGTGACAAACGTATAGTGAAAGAGATCAGTTTGTAACCCTTCCAGAATAAAGGGGAACCCAGAATAAAGAGGTAGCTTGATCCCGATGATTTCAGAAATAAAGAGGGTCTATTATATTCTATTGTACGTTTGTCAGAAACGAACCTGTGATCTTTGAATTGGAAATCCAATGCGCTATCCTTTGCGCCAAAGAAATTCCTTACGACAATTTCTTTCAAAATCACATGGGTCAAATTTTTTTCGGACAATTATTTTATAAGCACAATTAACGTTATCTGTAAAATTTAATAATTTACTTAAAATGATGATATATTAATGTTGATGAATCATCGCGATTGCGTAATGTCATGTTTCATTCCATTTTACGAGTATTTAATTGGCAAAATGTAATGTCTTTTTAATTGTAAAAATGATTGTTGCTTTGGTCATTAAATCTGTCATTGAATTCGTTACGAATAAAATTTGATGATAACAAAAAATATGACGATTTCTTAATTTATTCATCACTTAAATAATTTATTTTAATTATTTTATTTCATGATCGATAGAATCCATTAAATTTACAATTTTCGACACATCTGTATCTACGTCTATTTAAACATACAATAAAATTGTTTTAGTTGCCATTAAAGCGCAAAATAAAAACAAAACATGATGCAACGAAATAATTACATTTGTTGCAATAAAGTAATTAATTATAGTCATTATTATAATTAATTATAGTCATTATTATAATTGGCAACTTTGTTACACCATTCCTAATGTTTTATACTTGGTCTATAAATAACATTTTTTTATTACCGTTAAATATATATATTTCAAACTCGAATTTTATATTTTAGCATATTTAGAATTCTTTATATATATGGAAAATAATGAAAATAATATAGAAAATTATATAGATACTATTTTAATACATACGTGTATATATTCACAAAAATTTTAAATGTCTAAATACTTTATACAATTTAATTTTTTTCTCTTTCTTGAATTGAATTACTTAGCTTTTCCATTCCTTAATTTTATTATAAATTTATTTTCTGAAATATTGATTGTAAGCTCTTTTAGAACAGTTGAAATATATTGTAATTAATATTTAAATTAAATGCTGCTACTTTTAATTTATAATTTTAAGACTAAATATATTACATTTAATAATAAAATCAAAAGAAAAAGTTTTACTGCTTCTTATACGAAACATTGTTTTATAATCATCATATTAAACATTATTTTATAATCTAAATCGTTTTTCAAAAAACAAACATTTAAAATTTTTCTTATAAAAGAGAGAAACAATTTTTTAATATTTTTTATATTTTTTATAAATTAAAAAATTTTTATCTGTCAAATAAATTAGACAATTTCTCCTCTTCATAACCAATAATAACAATTTGCTATCTCTATATATCATGTAACATTCATTTCATTAGTATAATTTCAAAAATGTTAGACAAGCAATGTTTTTTAAAATTTCCCAGCCTTAATATAACCAGATGAAATCGCGCAGAGAACTGCAAACAATATATATATACGAAGAATCTAAAGAAATAGCTTCCAGAGGTTAAAAAGCTCTTTCTCTTATTGGCCTATGTTATATATGCAAGCTCCGTCAATCTTTATATATTGTACTCGATGTTGCAAAACATTGAGAACAATACTAACTAAATAAAGAAAACTATTACTTTTTAACTTGAAAATAGAACTGTCTTTCTACAATAAAATTATAAAAAATTTCTAAACGATAATGGAAACTCAAAAAAAGAATTATACTTTTATTTTTTGAGTTCCCATTATCTTTTAGAAACTTTTCATAATTTTACTACGAAACGTGTCTCTTGTCTCACATAAAAGAAAAGTTGTTTTGTTATGTTATGTTACAAGTATATAGAATTAAATGTGATAAAACTATATCTCAATGTTTTTTTCATTGACAAACACTTAGTAAAATTTACGCCATCTGATTAAATGAGAAATTTAAAAACTGAAAAATTTAATAATTGATGTATATATAATTAAAGATAAAATTCTGTGATTAATATAATTCACAAAAGGGGGAGGAAAATATATCTTAAGAATAAAACTTTAATTAATTATTCTGATCTTATTTTACATAGAGGTGATATGGATGTTTCGTAACAAGGCTGGAAGCACTTTCCAATAATGCAATTTAACCCTATCCAACTCTAATTTTGTTAAGGTTGAAATTTCCTATAACTTACGGTTCATAATTTACTTGTAATTTTCGTGCGCACTACACATGCACATTAATTATGCAAAATATGCGAAGCCACAATTTCATTTCATAGTTGCAATCTAGGAAATATTTAAAATATAATTTATTACGATCAAAAAAATTAAAATTATTCATATCAATACATTTTTAAAATTAAAATTATTAAAAATACGTATTTTTTTCTATTATTGAAAATAAAATTATAAATATAAACAATCGATTAATTCTCGATTTTTCTTGTAAATATAATTTTCTTTATAAAATTAAAATCATATTTCAAATTTGAAACTAAAGTTTCATTTCTTTCTTTGTATATATATGTATATATATATATATGTATATATATGTCTTTGTATATAGATGTTAGTGTCATTTATCTCTTTGTATGTCACTTTTGCAGCAAAATTATTTTAATTAAAAGCTTCTCAAACACACATCAGCCACATATTTTTTGACATTTTATAAATCTTTATCTCTATTGCAAAAGCGAGATTTGTGAAAATATCCCGTATATGAGAGCACTTTCCATGCATCCTGTCAAGTCATTTATTTCGTATAAAACAGCGATGTATCATGTACGGGCAAAACGGTCATGTCGGACGAGCCAGCCTTAATCTCACATGTGCCACGCTTCTCCTTCACGTTAATTTAGATATTTCTCATCGTCATCCGGCTTATTCCCATCGCGCTTCCTCGCCCACTTCTTCTATTTCTTGCTCTCTCGTGCGGAACGAGAGAAGAGCGCAAATTGATCCTTCCCGAGGGCATTTACGTATCCATACTTTAATCACGAGTCCCCTCAAATAGCCGGCGTAACGACTCACTTTAGTCATATTTAACATTTTAGCTGGCAGTCGCAGAAAACATGCGTGAAGAGTCAACTGGAAGATAACATAATGTCTTTGAAATAAGATCTTAAAAGTCTAATATTATTTTCAAATTTTATAATTAATATTTTTATATGTATTGTAATATTCGACGATTCAGTTTTTTATAAAGTAATTATATTCAGACAAAAATAAACAACAAATCTTTTTTTCGATGAAAGAAGTTTTGTAATATTTTATATTTATTACTTATATATATTTTTTAACATAGAATTTTATACATTCAATACATATATAAAGATTTGGCATTAATTATTATAAATATATATATTTTTTTCTGTATATAAATTACAAAATATATTATTTTTTATAATGAATAATTAAAATATTAATTCTCTTTACATCACATTGTCATTTATCATTTATCACTTATTATGAATACTCTTTTCAAATAAGAATATTAGAATACGTATATTAGATTACGTGAAAAGAAGAGGAGAGAAAGATTTATATGAAGTTTTAATTAGTTTTTTTAATTATCTTTTTTGAGATTAAAGTCCGCAGATCTTATGCTCGTATGCACAAGAACGACTTGAGAGGCGTAACCGGACAATAAGGGCAGTTGTGTATTACGGTGATTAGTGTCACTATCCTCATATCAAGTCTTTACGACTCTATTAAAGCGACCGGTTTATTCTAGTAGAATAATTGCGCCGCCGCGAAACCATTTCAATATTAAGTTAAATCGTGTGTGCCCTCTTAAAAATAGTTAAAACTATTTCCAATATGAGTTTTTTGCATTATTCGAGTATTTTGTATCGCCAGAATTTTCATGACTTTGAGATTTATACGATTATGTGCTGCTCGTCTTCAAAATGTTGTTGATTCAGAAACAGGTTTTCGTAAAAGTGTGAAAAAGATGGTCAATCGCTATCAAACGAAATCTATAAAAATGAAACCATATCGTTTTTATGTCCTGATATTTTCTCGTATTCTTTTCGACACGTTTCACGAATGGAGTAAATTAACATATAAGGAAATACGCATTCTTGCATAATACTTATAAATATTCTCTTTATATACTACTATTTTTTAGATATGATAATTATGTAGAACGCTCAATATTAATTAAATAAACAATTATTTACGAAATCATTAAGCTTCTTATAAATGTACGATTTGACATTTAATATATCAAAAAATTAGATAAATATAAATACATAGACTTTTATCTTTATTTTATTTTTAAAGTGTTTATTTGTTTGAAATATTGCATTAATATAAATGAAATTAGTGAAAGGAAATTACTTTAAAAAAATAGAATATTAAATATAAATTTCATACATATTCTAAAGATACATATGTCTATGTATATCGTAATAGTATATCCTGACATTGCAATTTCGTTACAATCTTCTATGTCTACGAACGCCTAATGAACGAACAATTAATCATCCCAGCTACGTGCCACGTGTACATATCTCACCAATTATAGATGAATCAATTCTGGAATTCAATTATTTAATAATGTCTCGCATGTAGCTCACCGCGATTATGAAATCAAGTCGAATACATTTCGATAGTCAATCTCCTCGCTCCTTCACGCATATATCTGGCGTCTCCCACTAATCGGCACGTTTCCTCGCACATCCACTCCCAGGGACGTAGGAACTTACCTGGTCGGTTCCCGTGGTGCCCCATCGGCGAGATGGGGTTTAAAGGGGCCGGCGGCGGCAAATAGCAAGAGAGCTTCGGCTCGCGTGTGCTCTGACGCGGAAAGCCGGTTAGTCGGTCTCAATCCGCCGTGGCGTTCGTATTAAACCGGAGTGCGGCTTCGAGCAACGAAGTTCCGATCCGATTCATGCTGTGAAAAATCGAAAAAAAAAGAAACAAAGAAAATTCGATTCGAAACAAACGCGGGCTCGTCGCGCGTCCATCCGTCACGATATCATCGATCCGGCGCGAATTGCCGAGCGGGAAATTCTTTTGTTTCCCGAGTGTAATCCCTTTCTCTCTCTTTCTCTCAGTGCATACATATTAGTGTCTCGGTGCACGTGGCTGCAATTCATAGTCGAGTTCGGTATACCTGGACCTGCGCAAAGAAGGTAAGTCTATCTTGTTTTGGTTATTCTTCGACAGCGCACGCGTCTTCGTACGTTCGGGGTCAATTGCTATTTACACGGTTCATTAAAAGAGCACGACTCGGGGTAAACATTGATTAATTGAGGTAGATTTTTCTTTTGATACAGTCGAGTACAATTGAGGATACTCATAACATGTGAGAGTCTCTTCACAATATGCGGATTCTTAATTTACATACTTTAATTGTATTTTTCTAAAAAAGTTGTCTGAGAAATATATATCAGACGAAATGTATCTATGAATGTGTCAGATGCGATATATTAAATAAAAAAGTAATAGCTTAAAATTTGAAATAACATTTCTTTGATGCAAAGAAATTTTTAATAATTTCAATAATTTTTTTAATGTTTTGAAAATGATTATTACTAAATTCACGAAATTGAAATAGCTATAATCTTATAATCTAAAACTTCCATAAAATTTCTTATGTATATAAAACATAACATTACACTGGACTTATTCATCAAACAAGCACGATTCATGTTAATAATATTTACATACATTTTAACGGTCGGTAGCAATTATAATCGTTGTTCTTATATAAAACAAAATGGTTCGTTGAACAAGAATCGCGCTATAGAGCAAATAACTGGCCTTCATTAAATCGCCGAAAATTATTATTATTCGAGTTTGACTTTTTATTCTTTTATACAGAAGAAAAGTTGATATTTTTTTAAATATTATTTTATTGCATTTACTTTACTTTACGCGTTTGTAACTGTAAAAATATTGTATAAAGTATTTGTTTCTCTTAAAAGTTTCTTCTCTATCTTAAAAATTAAGTTTTCTTTTTTAAGCTTTTAAAAAATAATATTTTTTAAAGCGGTTTGCCAAGTTTCCTTATTGTAAAGATATGTTTTGTAATTTTAACGAAGTTATTTTTAATAATTTTAACTGTAAATAATAACTGTGTTGATTGATTTATACGAAATAATATTTTGTATCACATTTTTGATAAAATTTTGTGTTACATTCTCTTACTTCCTATGTGCAATTCAATATTATTAAAATTATTAAAATAAAAAAATATCTCTGAATTCTATTGATTTATCAACAGTATAATTAAGAAATTTTGTCACTAATGCTTTAATAATATAGTTTAAAATGTGAATACTCTAATAAACTATGGTTCTAAATCAAATCGGCAGCTGCTTTAAACAGAACAAGAGACTCGTAATTGTGGAACACATATGTCAAAGTCAGAGGGACAAAGTGCTGATTCAATCTAGTATCTTTCGAGGAAATTCGAATGATGATTTGTGCATCATTTCGTCACGTTCCAAATTGATTTCTTTGCATGTAACATGCTTCACTTATAAAATTTATGTTCTGTTATAAAAGAAAATAAAAGAAAATATTAGATTTTTCCATCGTCGTATAATGTGTATCACATTTTACATATCCATATAAATCATTTACATATTAATTTATACATTAGAGATATATTCATAGAATTAAATGACAACGTAATAACATATCATATCCAACTTATTTCAATTTCTTATTTCTTGATCATTAATAGAAGCATTGATTACTTATATTTAAACAATTTATTTTATTTATATGCATTTACTTGATACCTGAATATTATTTATACGTTAATCTTATCATCTTATGATATAGTTATTACGATAAAGAACATATGATGTATCGTAAGTACGCTTGATTAACGAAGCATGATCCTAAGTAGGTTCAAGGCTTCTCCGCGATTGAAGCAGAGATAGCTAGCTTTAGCGATAGTTTTCGTTTTCATTACTATCAACAATGAAGCCATTATGAGGAAATCTAGCAGCGTTGTAGCTCACTTTTCCCGTTAAATTTAGATTAACCTAATTTACTGTGCGAAAATTCCCAAGATGCATTCAAATCCCACAAAAAAATAGGAAGAAAGGAGGGGAAAAAAGATGCAATCAATATAAAGACTATCTTACTCTATTATTAATCTGATATTAATGCGACTTATAAGCATTAATTATACATCATGCGAGATGAAAACATAACGTAACATGATGTACGCATCACGAAGAAAACTTTTCGTGAGCCAAATGCCTCTTTCTCATCGCGACGTGTTTCCCGACAAGTTGCGCAATGTCGAATCAGACGATGCGTTAATTAATTAATTAGCACGTCGCGCGCGCCCTGAATCTCTTTTCATGTGAAAAATGAATGAAAGGCACATACATATATACAGAACAAAATACAGAATATAATATAATTTTTAACGAGCAAAGAACTCAACAATACGATGTTTAATGCAAAAATCCTTTTTTGCCGGTTATTCTTTACATTTCAATTCATATATTTTATATTTCAATTTAAAATTAAAAAAAATATATATATGTATTCTTTTACTCGATAAATTATAAAGAATAAAAATTTGCAAAGAGTTTTTTTGTTTTTTTATTGTATATTTTCTGTATATAAATATATTTATAAGACTATGAACTGGCGTAACTAGCGATAACCCCCCTTACAGGCGAAACCGGAAGATAATGACCAGCTTCCAGCACGTTAAAACACATCTCATCTCACCAACCTACTGACAGTCTAGTTCCACGGTCTTTATCAAACGCATGCATTCTCAAGATAAGTCAATATTCTTTACAAGACAAGAAACACATAAATATTACGAATATGAAGCCCAACGAAAGCGCTTTATACGTTGCAAGGTTTCATCGCAGTTGCCGTAATCGCGAGTCGCATGACGCGGTCTCAGAGTTGGCGGCGGAACTGCGACGTGCCTACATGGTGAAGGGACTGCAGGCCCAACTCGAGGAGAAACAGACTGGCAGATACATCGAACTCATGCGAGAACGCGAGAGTGCCAAATTGGCTCGCGAACAACAGCGAGAGATGTTAGAAAAGGATCTCCAGCGCCAATCAGAGATTCTACAGAAATGCGAGGAGTACAGGCAGCAGCTGGACGAGCAGCTGACGCGGAAAGAAGAAGAGAAAAGAGTCCTCGTAGAGGAAGCTCGCGAATATAGGAAGTACCTGGAAGAAGTGGATCGAGTACAGGAAGAACGGGAACTCTCGAGGGCACTGGAGAAGAAATGCGAACTCGTGGAAAGAGCGAGACAAGAAAGACTGATACTCGAAGAAATGAAGAAGATTCATCGACAGGAGGAGCGTGAGGCGGAAGAGAAGAAGCGGCGGGAGGATCTAAAATATTTGAAGGAGATTGAAGAGAGATCGAAGGAGATGAGTAGACTCAGACAGGAGCAGATAGAGAGACGCGAACGTGTCCTGTTGGAAACGACGAGGATAATGCTGGACGCTCAGGCTCGAAAACGAGAGAGGGAGGAACGTCTGATTGATCTCGTGGCTGAGGAGATTAGGTGCGAGCTCATAATCAAAGAGATGGAAGAGGCGATGCACAGGAGAAAGATGCGGCAAGAACTGGCAGCTAGTTTACGGGAACAGATAGTCTTTACGAAGCAGTGTAAGCAGCGTTTCGTGGAGGAGGATAGAGCATGGGCCGAACAAGTCATGAGGAAGATTATGGAAGACGAGAAGATGGCGAGGTTCACGGCAGAGGCGAAAAAGAGGATGAAAATGCAGTACCGGAAGGACCTGGAGAATTTGATTGCGCACCGCCGCAGGATTCGCGAAGAGGAGATTGCTAAGATTGAGGAAATCGCTAAAGAGCAACGGAGGTTGGAACTAGCTGAGGCAGAACATGCAAAAGAGGAAAGAAGACGCTTGTTGACGACGCATGCAACTAATATTGCGAACTTTGTGAATAGAGCAGTTCTCACGACTGAAGAACGACAAATTCTTGCCGAATTGATGAAGGAAAGTCATGACACTGAAAATATCAATGACGATGCACTGGCGAAAATATAAAAAATTAAATAAAATAACAAAAACTTGAAACAAGAAGCAAATTTTAATTTTTCAGATGTTAACGCGTAAGTGTAATGAGTATCTAACAACGAGAGATGCAAAATAAAAAACTGAACGAATTGGAGATATTAATCGAAAGAAGTCAAGAAAATAATAATGAAAACATATTAGCTATGAAAATGACAATGGCTGTTTTGAGCTCCAAGTATTTAATAATATTAACGTATGCATAATACTAACGTACTTTATTATCGCGAGTTTTGCAAAATAGAACAATTAGTAAAAAAAATTAAAGATGACAATCAATGATTGCACATGTAACATGTATTATTCTATTTTTAATAAAAAAGCTCTAATTACTCAAATAAAATATCGATTGTTCATTGAACTATCATTAAAATATGAGATGTCAAGAACCGTTAAAGTAATCGTTTTGATCAGCAGAACACGAATGAAGGAGATAGTCCTATATCTTGGAAGGAATAAAGCTAGAGGGAAACAAAAAGGAAGCCAACTCTTTTGGAAGGAAGCCAACTTTGAAGGAAGATAATAACAGAAATTTCCTAAAGCAGAATTAAAGATAAGACATAGCAAACGATCACTTCTAAACGATCACTTCTAAACGACACAAAGAAATTCTATAAGATAATACCTGTAAGAAATTAATTAATGATAATAATGATAATATACAGATAATAATGATAATATACAGATAATAATGATAATATACAGATAATGTTTATATTAAAATATTTTAGGATTAAAAAATTTAAATACAAACTAAAGCCCATCATTGAAAATTACAACCCTTTTAATTTTTAACGAATTTTATAGCGATACATATCATAATGCACACACGAAAAAATTACAGATAAAAAGCAAAGTAAAAGACTCTTAAAATTAACTTTCCCCTTTCTTTACAGAGAGTGTACTATAGTTTTTATTAGAAAAAATATATCTAAAAATTAGATTCCAGATGAACATGATAGGCGACAATGAAAAGAAACGGAAATTATTTCGTCAAACAGGATGAGACCTCTTGTAAGAAGGTCAGAAGGGAAACCGCGAAGGGTGAGAGAAATAGCCGGAAATTGTGGCGGAAGTTAAAAACTTAACGAATGTTCAATGTCGTAGGTTTTACGCATATTTATGAGTTAACTAACAGAAGTCTGCCGAATCAAATTTGTTAGAAAAAAAGCGTGAGTCATAAAATCGATGTACAAATTATAACTTAATATAAAAACTAAAACTTTTATTGCTTTAAGAAAAAATAGTTTAATTATATATTACGTGCGTACGTGTGTGTGTATGTGTGAGATTTTATTTTTTACATGGTGCAAAAAGCTATTACGTCTTTTAATTAAATCGCAAATCATCTTGATTATTCTAATGTATTAAAATTATATACTATCTCGATCGAAACTTGATTTTTCTTGTTATCAACATCCTAAATTATTGTTAGCATAGTATAAAATATCACAAAACAACATAGTTTATGCTTGTGTAGTAACATGACTGCCATTAAATTATGTTTAATATTTTCTTAATATCCTTCATCTCCTATTAGATATTAATCAAAGTCGGATAAGGTAATGGCCCTAAGAATTATGTGTCTTAGCAATGTATTGAAATTGAGCATCGAGAAAACATTGTAGATGTAATTATTATACTTAAAGAAAATTGGATTACAGTCACGTGCGCACGTAATTGCAGCGTAATAAAATCCAAAAATATAATTTTATTAAAAAAATTATTATAAATAATGTATATATGCTGATATATAAACATTTGTATTTAAGAATTAAAAACAATTATTTCAGCCATATTCCAAATAAAAGAACAAATAATATTTTCCAAATGAAATATATAACAATCATTTTTAAAAACATTTGCAAGACATTATCAAAAGTTTTTCGGACATTTAGTGTACCAGACAGTACGGATATACATACTCCCTTAGCACCTGTCGCCAGGTGTATCCGCCTGTTAGAACGTCCAAAGATTTCCCAGGAGAAGCATCGTTCTCAAGTAATTTTAAAAAAATTCACACGCCCATATTACTGAACACTTTATCTGACAAGACAGTTCACAAAAGAAGAGAAAATTTGTGTAAAACATTATTTGTTATAAAACTAGTATTTGTATAATATATTTATAATACTCTTTTCTTTCTAATAGTTAATTATAACTTTCATTGAGTATTAACTTTTTACCATAAAATATACAAGAAAACGTGCAGAAGAATTTTTGTCTCTTATCTTTTCTATATTTATAATTTTAATTCAATCTACTTCTGCTTCATTATTTTATACTGCCATGCTACTAGAATATACTTAATATTTTATTGATTTAATAAGCGTGGATATTTATAAAGAATTAATCAAAATATCGTTGTCTTCGCATTTTAGAAATGTCATGTTATTCATAGAAATTCGTATGTTATTTCATGTTATTCCAAAATAAATGGAAAATATTGTTTATATAAAGGCAGAAGATAAAGATGCTTCAAGCTCACACGACTGTCATAGACATGATACGTCATTTACAGTGTTCAATAATTAAAAGCATATCAGAATAGAATCTTGATACCGCGTAATTAAATATGATTGTTCGTTATAGACCTTTGATATCGCTACTCAAGTCATTCGGATAACGATATCGATTCCGACATCAATTCAATATCGATATTCTTTTAAATGAAGAGGATTTCTCTATTTATCTCCAAGAGTAATAAAGATATAAAGCTTCGCAATAATGCTTTCATTAATATTATATTTATATTAATAATTAACAAAAAAATTTGTATAATTTATTAAATATACATTTTTTTATAATCAATAGTTTTATCTCGTAGACATTTTTCTGCAATACTTTTTTCTGCAGATTTTTACTTTTATTTATTTTAGAACTCGCTAAGTTTAATTAAAATTTCCGCTGTGACAAGATTTCCTTATTAAATGTCAGTCTTATCATTGAGAAAATCAAAGAGTAGCAACGTCGCCGCGGTGTATTGAATCATTAATATTCTGAATATGAAATATAAGCATAGCTTGTATTTCGAATCGCAAAGAACTAATTACATCGCGTATAATAAATCTATCGATCGAGTGTACGCAGTCAGTGTAACAGAATCGGTTCGTCTGATGGTTAAATACGCACGAGTTAAATATACGTGAGAGTCTGAGACGCGGAAAATTTAACTCGTGAAACAGCTCGTTGAATAATAATTGCGCCGAGAAATTATATCTGCAAATTCACTACTTCTATCGGTCACGATTATTAACGAGCGGTAATTTGACGATAAATTTATCCTCAAGTGTGTTTGTCCCCTGCCGCCTGGCCGACAACTTCAAGTTTTACCTCCGCAAATTATGCCCTAATGACGACCCTTCGCTCTCTCGTCGTTACATAAAAAAAGTTGTTCGTCACATTGTAAATTGTCCGCGTGGAAGTCACGAGAGCTGCTTCTAGAATTAACACTGTGATGTTAATCGATACTCTCGTTAGGCCGGTTCTTGAGCCTTTATAAAGAGTATGCTCTTTTATTATTTTATATACATGTACACCCTATGTAAGAACTTAAGAGAATATTGAAATTTTCTAGACTTCTTATTTTCTGTAACACCGATTCCGCCCACAGACGGTAAAAAATGAATTCTAACTAACAATTTTATCTATATTTACATCAGGAACATGCTTTAAGAAAACTATGTCTCTTCAAAAGTTATCTAGAAAGTTTTTTCAAAAATATTAAATTATTATCTCGTTAATGTTTAAACTTTATATTAAAAGATGTATTAATATTTGAAATATAGGATTATTTTTATAAAACAAAGCATGTATTATCGTACTGATTCCTCGATGATTTTATTTCTGGTTTACTTTTAAAAAAGACATATTAAATTGATGCTAAAAAACGAGAGTTTTCATTTAAAACGAAAATATTTATTACTACAAGTTTATTAATCAATTTGTTATGTATTCTTCGAATCCCGGAGAGAAATCTGCGTGACAGTTGGACCGCTTGGCAGATCTGACGGGTCAATATTTTACTTCTTAACGCCTTGTTAAATCTTTGAATAATTACCACGAGAGCTGGAACCTATGCAAATATAATTGCATCGGAATCGCAACAAGTAACGAAACTTTTAATGAGCAAAAACGCACAGGACGATCAATTTCATAACGGATTCGAGGGCTTGCGACGATTCCGTAGTGTATAACGAATACCGTTAGGAGAGATTATTCTCGTTACGTGAGGCACGACATTTTTTTCTCTCGATTCGCGGTCTGGCAAACGAGTTGTTTTTTTAAGCGCTTATCCGTGTTCGTTGTCTCGAGAGAGGCTTTTTTACTTTTTGGGAATTGATCGGATAGTTACGATAGCTTTATCGTATAGCATATGCCGATGAAAGGGACAAATTCTAGTTTTGTTTTACATCATCACATATGCGTATGTTTGTTATTCTTTCATGTTATAATTAATAATTTGATTCTACACAGTTTTTATATATAATTTTATATATAATTTTATAAATAATTTTATTTTTTTGCGATACTTTTTTATAAAAATTATTGTAATGAAAAAAATTATATAACATTTTTTTATTTATGAAAACTAATATAATACAGGACTAAGTTTTTTCTTTTTTAATTTTTTCAAAATATTTTATAATTCCAGTTGGAGCATTATTAAATAAATATCTTCCGAATAATCCAAAAATAATAATTTTATATATACTTTTCATTCTGCAGGTTTCTGAATCTCAGACATTTAAATGATATAGTTATTACGATTATCGAATATAAAAGAAAAATAAATCAATATATTATATTATATAATCATTCACGACAGAGACATTATTATATTAATTAATATATTATCTTATTGTTTCAGAGTGATAACATTTCGATTTGTAATAATATATACATCAAATGTAACATAATTAATAAGATGCAATGTTTATCGTTGTTGTTAACAGATGCGAATATTTATTTCA